GAAGAAAGAGAGAGAGGGGATATGCTACACACTTTTAAACAACCAGATCTTATGAGAACTGTATCATAAGAACAGCACTAGGGGAATGGCGCTAAGCCATTCATAAGAAACTGCTCCCATGATCCAATTACCTCCTACCAGGTCCCACCTCCAACACTGGGGATTATAATTTGATATGAGATTTGGGCAAAGACACAGATCCAAACCATATCAACAACATACCAAAGGCAGTGGGATACAGCAAAAGCAATACTAAGAAGGAAGTAAATAGCAATGAACATCTACAACAAAAAAGTGGAAAGATTTCAAATAACCTAAGAATGTACCTTAAGGAACTAGAAAAGCAAAAACACATGAAACCCAAAATTAGTAGAAGGAAAGCAATAATAAAGATCTAGCAGAACTAAATGAAATGTAGACTAAAAAATAAAAACACAAAGGATCAATAAAATGAAAAGTTGATTCTTCAAAATTTATAAATCACTAGACTAGACTAACTGAAAAAAGAAGAGAGAAGACCCAAATAAACAAAACCAGAGATGAAAAAGGAGACATTACAACTGATACCACAGAAATACGAAAGATTATCGGAAACTATTAGGAACAATTACATGCTAACAAATGGAAAAACCTAGAGGAAATGTGAAAATTCCTGGAAACATACAGTCTACCAAGATTAAATCAGGAAGAAATAGCAAACCTGAGCAGACCAATAACAAATAGCAAGATTAAATCATCAGTAATAAAAAGCCCCAGTAAATAATAGCTCAGAACCAGATGGATTGCTGCTGAATTCTACCAAACATATAAAGAAGAAATATTAGTAACCTTCCTCAAACTACTCCAAAAAGTTCAAGGGGACGGAATTCTCTCCAACTTATTCTATGAGGCCAGCATTACCCTAATGCCAAAACCAGATAAGGACACAATAAAAACAGAAAACCATAGACCAATATCTCTGATGAACATACACACAAAAATCCTCAAAAAATACTAGCAAATAGAATTCAACAGTGTATCACAAAGATAATACACCATGATTAAGTGTAATATCAACCATGCAAGGATAGTTTAACATATACAAATCAGTAAAAGTAATACATCACATCAACAGGATGAAGGACAGAAACTATGTGATCGTCTCAATAGATGTAGAAAAAGTATTTGATAAAATACAACACCTTTCACGATAAAACCTCTCAACAAACTAGGCACAGATGGAACATACTTCAAATTAATAAAGTCCATATATGACAAACCCATAGTTAACATCATACCGACTGGGTAAAGTGGAAAGCCTTTTCTCTAAGAAGTAGAGCAAGACAAGGATGCCCACCTTCACCAGTCTTATTCAACATAGTATTGGAAGTCCTGGCCAAAGCAATCAGGCAAGAGAAGAAACAAATGGCACACACATTGAAATAGAGGAAGTCAAATTGTCCCTCTTTGCAGTTGACATTATCTTATATTTAGAAATACCAAAAGACTCCACAAAAAAACCTCTTAGAGCTTATAAACAAATTCAGTAAAGTTTCAGGATGCAATATCAACATATAAAAATCAATAGCATTTTTGTACACCAGTAGTGAAATAGCTGAAAAAAAAATCAAGAAAGCAATCCCATTTACAACAGCTACAAAAAAATACATAGGAATAAATTTAACCAAGGAGGTGAAAGATCTCTACAAGGAAAACTGCAGAATGCTGATGAAAGTAATTGAAAAGAACACAAATAAATGGAGAGATATCTCATGCTCAAGGATCAGAAAAAATAATAGTGTTAAAATGACCATAATGCCCAAAGCAACATACACAGTAAATGCAATCCCTATTAAATGTCAATATCATTTTTCACAAATATTTAAAAAATCCTAAAATTAATATGGAACAACAACAACAAAAAAGCCAGAATAGCCACAGCAATCCTGAGCAAAATGAACAAAGCTGGAGGCATCAAACTACCTGACAAAATTATATCACAAATTTATAGTAACCAAAACAGCATGGTATAAAAATAGACACATAGACCATGGGAAACAGGATAGACAACTAAAAAATAAATCCACATATTTATTACCAACTGATTTTTGACAAAGGAGCCAAGAACATATTCAGGGGAAAGGACTTCAATAAATTGTACAGGGAAAATTGGATATCCATATGCAGAAGAATAAAACTGGACTCTTTTCCTTCACTGTATATAAAAATCAACTTGAGGTGGACTAAGAACTTAAACATAAGATCCCAAATTATAAAACTATTAGAAGAAAACAGGGAAAGCACTTAAGGACATCAGTCTAGGCAAAGATTTTATGGGTAAGACCTCAAAAGTACAGACAACTAAAATAAAAATGGACAAATGTTACTATATTAAAATAAAAATCTCTGTACAGGAAAGGAAACCATCAAGAGTGAAGAGACAGCCATTGAATGGGAGAAGATATTTGCAAACTATTCATCCAACAAAAGACTAATATCCAGAATATAGATGAAATTGAACAACTCAACAATAAGAAAGCAAAATCTCATTAAGAAGTAGTCAAAGAACACGAACAGATGATTCTCAAAAGAAAACATATAAATGGCCAACTGGTATATAAAAAATGCTCAGCATCACTAATCATCAAAGAAATGCAAATTGAAACCACAGTGAGATATTTTCTTACGCCAGTTAGAATAGCTATTACTAAAAAGACAAAACAAAAACAAAAACAGATGCTGACAAGGACATGTGGAAGATGGAACTCATCTACACTGTTGGAGAAAATGTAAATTAGTACAACTCCTATGGGAAACAGTATGGATATTTCTCAAAAATCTAAAAATGATAAATGTAATCCAGTAATCCTACTATTGGGTATCCAAAGAAAAGGAAATCAGTATACTAAAGGGATACCTGCACTCACATGCTTACCATAACTAACACTATTTGCAATAGCAAAGATATAGAATCAACTTGTGTCCATCAATAGAAGAATAGATAAAGAAAATGTGCTATATATACACAACAGAATACTACTCAGCCACAAAAAGAATAAAATCATATCATTTGCAGCAACATAGATGAAACTGGAGGCCATTATGTTAAGTGAAATAACTCAGGCACAGAAAGACGAATATCATATATTCTCACTCGTATGTGGGAGATAAAAACATTGATATCATAAAGGTAGAGAGCTGACATTATAAAGGTACTAGAGGATGGGAAGGTGGGTGGATAAAGATGGGAAGGAGAGGGGATAAAGAGAGGTAGGTTAATGTGTATAAACATATAGTTAGATAAAAGATAGAAGTTCAGTCGTTTGACAGCCCAGTTACTCTAGTTAACAACAATGTATTGTATATTTCAACATAGCCAGAAGAGAGGACTTGAATTGTTTCCAATATATAGAAGTGACAGTACTCAAAGTGATGGACACCTCAAAAAGCCTGACTTGATCATTACACATTCTAGGCATATAACAGAATACCACATGTACCTCATAAATATGTAAACTAATATGTATGAATTAAAAGAAGAGAAACATAGAAGAGAAAAAGGGTAAACGAATAGGTTGTCTGACATTAAACTGTATAATATTTTCAGAGGCCACCACGTGTAAACTCCATTAGAGTTGGAACCTCCTTGGCGTATTCACATTAGTGTGCCAGTGCCTATAATAGGGTACAGGTAATGTAGGCAATTAATAAGTAGTTGTGCAATGTTGAGTGAGTACCATTTCTCTTGATGAGTGACAAAAGGTAAGAGATTTTCAACTGAGTGATTTTTTAAAATAGGAAATTTCCTTATTTGGTCAAATAGCTATTCAGTGTTTTCCATCCTTAATTGTTGGCCTGCAATTGCGGGCCTCAACTCTGCAGCCATTCTTTGTGTGCCAAAGTAGTGCTCTGAAAATCTTCATTAATTGTTATTATGTTTTTTACTATTCTCTGGTATTCCTGCTAATCAATGATTATGATGACAATAGCTAAAAGTGCCTAACTTTTAGGGAGAATGCCAAGAAATCTTAGTATGACAGGGGATCACATTTTATCTAAAAGTATTTTTAGAGGGCTTGGGAAATACTTCGTCGATAAAGAAAGAAAGGTAAGAGAAAAAACAAGATTAAACTTAGACACAGAAACATAAAAGTAGAATGGTAATTTTAGAGTTGGAAGGAGGCATGAAGAGCACATTCCATAGCAACAGCAGCTGATGCTGCCTGTGTCCTTAGAGATTATCCAGGCCTTTGTTTTACAGATGAGAAAATACACATGACAGTGAAACTGGAACTCAGAGTTTAAGTGATCTACCTAAGTTTACAAAATTAGCTTGTCTCAAAACTGAAATGAGAATTAGAATATCCTCTTCTCCTTAAGGAAAATCCATTTGCAACACCTTCCACCCAGCTTTACCTTTCCACATTACACTGTGCCAGTGAAATGTCTTTCTCATAGGTAAGCTCTCATGACACAAAGTGTTCATCCAGGAGGAAGGAGCACTTTGAGTTGAGGAGGGTCTTAATTTATCAGGAAAGAGTTAGACTATTTCTGGAATGAAACGAATGCAGTGTTGAAAAAAAAAATGAAATGTTAGTAAGAAAAAATTCAGCTACAGTCTATTTTAAACAAAGCATTAAATAATAGATCTGTGTTTAAAATAAAATACATGTTTTCTGTGATAGAAATACATGTGGGCTATGTATGCTTGTAGTGAAAAATAGGCCACAATGTCTTCTCAAGTGACTTCAGGCATTGTTTTATAAGGCAAAATCTAAATAAATATATTAATGAAAACATTCATATCCTCTGCACTTGGAAGTTGTTTTATTATACATATAGGGCTGTTATAGTACTCTTTTAAAAAGAAAGATTGCAAGATTAACCATATGCAACCTAAAAAATATATATGAGTTTATTTTTTAAAATGATTTAGATATTAATACAAGTCAACAGTTTATATGTCCTAGTCTCATGACAGAATCTTGAAATCTAAATGTATTTTTTGAGACTTTACTCACCCAACACACTTCTGGATTTGTGGTCGTCTGGGATAGTCTTCTGAGGACAACATTTTTTCATGAATAGCAAACAAACCTCCAATTATGATATGTCCCGGAGAAGTGGCAGCCACAAAGTCATCAGGGGTCTGGCAAGGCTGTGAAGTAGCAAGAATAATCATAAAGCAGGTAATTAGTATAATTAATAATGCCATGTTTCCATCTCATTTGCTCAGTTCATGTGAGTTCTTAAGTGCATGGAGTGCCAACAAGATTCCTATTTCACCTGTAAACACCTTATAAGGTATAGGACAGTGTCAAGGGCCAGAAACACTCAGTATTCAGATACTTGATGATAGTCAAAACAGTTATTTCACCAATAAGAACATAGACTTTTTAACACTCCAGTGTTAGAGATAATGTGATAGCAGTCATGTGATGTAAAAGCTGATAGAATTATAAACACAAGTCTAACTGTAATGGTACTTTTTCACTCTAGTGATATGTCAAGGGCCCTGAGTCACGTTGGCATTTCTTTTGAAGCAGAATGTAGAACTTTCAAGAAGCAGCAGTTTGGAAGAGTTTTTCCACTTTAGAAATAGACAGTTCTACATTTCAAAAAGGTATCACATTCAAGGCACAAATAATTCAATATAGTTTATCAGGTGTTTAGAAAAAAACATCCTGCTTTTCTTTTTCCTGAAAAGCTCTATTTAAAAAATGAAATTCAGTTAAATTTGGGTATTTGTCACTCCCACATTAGGTATTTGTCATTTCCAGTTTCCCTGTGTTAGAAATACATAGCTTTTGTGAAGATGGGTAAAACTAAAAACAAGATGAAACTTGTCTGATACAGTATTTTGCTTTGAACAAGAAAGGTCTGTTCATAGATCATTGCCATTTCCACTATTGTGGATGCTATATTTTAATAAATTTGGAACTAATTTCAGGCTATATATTCTTAAATACTTAGGAATCTGAACTAACATAATTTGATGGGTGTCTTTTGGAATTTAACAGAGGATAGAGAAACCTCAATGATGTAGTCACCATTAAGAAAAAGTTCAAAGTTTTAAAATTTATTTAATAAAATCAGTCTTTTAAAAATATTTTATTAAAAATGAATATCTCATGGGCAAGCAGTTTCAAATCCAATACATTCAGTTTGTTTGATGAGTAGCAGATACATTTAAAGAAATTTCAAAAAAATGAAAGAGTGCAATGGCCACTGTGGCATTTTTTCATTATCTAAATTAGGCTTAGATTCCATGGTCCAGTAGGGTTATACCAGCTGAGGAGTGGAGAAGTCACAGCTCATCATGCAGCTTCAAATGTTTTCTTAAGTCTTAGCATTTTTACTAATGGCAGGATTTTCTATTAGAATGAAAACCAGTTAACTTCAGTTGCCCAGAAAGTTTAACAAACATACATGAGTCTGAAGACTCTTGAAATGTTTAGCAATTACATTTTACTCATCTTAATCTTATTGCTTATTGGTGTATGTGTGTGTTTGGTGTCGGATGGATTTATATTTTCATGAATTTAGTTATTTTGCTCGGATAACCTCAAAGGTCTTATGTAATTACAAGTTCAAAAATGATTTCAGGAAAACTAAACTAAAAAATGAGAAATCCAGATAATTCCCAGCAAAATTATAGTAAGTATTAAGCAACTCAGAGTGATTCTGAAGATGCATTATTCAGATGACATTTCTTTGAAAAATCAATGACAAAAGTTATGCCAATAATGTCTTTTAGGTTGCAGTTTCAACAATATTTAGGGTCTTTGTAATCTGATGAAATGTAAAGATAAGGCACTTTTAAAATTTTAATAAATATAATCTAAGTTTGAAGAACTATGTCTTTAAAGGAGCCTCCGAAGGTAGGAAAACAAAACATCTAAAAAGACTTTTGCGCTGTAAAATGAAGTATCACGTGGCAGAAAGGGCCCAAACTTTGGAATCAGATAGACCTGGGTTGCTCTGCCCACTACTTAGCTGTGTGACACTGAATGAGTTACCTAACTTCTCTGAAAAATAATTTTCTCATCTATAAAGGAGTTGAGGTACTCTATCTAACAAATATGTTGTGAGACAAGCTGGTTTGATTTGCACGGCTCCTGTATTCTAGCACGCACTGAATAATTAGTTCGTTTCCCTTCTTTCCCTTGCCAAAACTAAACTGAAAGTTATCTTCCTAAATTTGTAGAGGTTTCTTTCTTTCTTTTTTTTTTGAGATGGAGTTTCGCTCTTGTTGCCCAGGCTGGAGTGTAATGGCACGATCTTGGCTCACTGCAACTCCACCTCCTGGGTTCAAGCAATTTTCCTGCCTCACCCTCCCGAGTAGCTGGGATTACAAGCGTGTTCCACCACGCCTGGCTAATTTTTTGTATTTTTAGTAGAGACAGGGTTTCACCATGTTGACTGGGCTCGAACTCCTGACCTCAGGTGATCCACCCGCTTCGGCCTCCCAGAGTGCTGGGATTACAGGCACGAGCCACTGCACCCAGTCAAATTTGTAGTGCTTTCTACAACTGGCTAAATCATCGTTCAAAGATTTTTGTCAAGCATTAAATGCATGGTAGAAATGACTTTTGTAATAGTACTACTAGCTGGTTGTTGTCACGTTGGAATGCAAATCCATTGTTAAGTTAAACTTGAAGGAAGATATAGAATATGTTAATTACTTTAGAATTCCACTGGAAACATTATCGTCACTCTTGTAGTTTCTATTATTGGGAATAGAACTTTTAGCCATAATTTAGAATGTACAGTTACTATATTTTTTCTATTTAAAAAATCATTATAAATGACAACAATAACTACTTCTATTCCAAAAGATTTTGATTTTTATCTTAAGTAACTATTTCTGGAGGGTAAAACCTCTTAAAAATTTTTGAGATATGAATTACTGACAGGACTAGCTTATTGCTCCTTTTGATTTCAAGAGTCTATATTTCTTTGTAACTACCTTACCTGGAGGGCTATCTGGTTAAAATAACTTAGAGGGAAGTAAGAAAGTATCACTCCCCAAGTAATTATCATAAAGATACCATTATCCTGGTTGAACAAGCCTAGTAGGAAAATACCGTCAATGATTAAAGATACTTTATTCTAAAATGGTGAGATTGTAGCACTGAAGATGGGGTGGCTTCCCACTGATGAAAGGCTGCATGAAGATGGGATCAGGCTGGAAATGATACTCTGGGAGCAGGGGCAGGGAATACCACATTCGCACTCAAGAAAGACCTCAAGAGGGTGAGGTTTGACACACATCTTATTTTATTTTAACATTTTATTTTTCCCTCCTGTTATTCCAGCTTCCCACTCACCCTCCTCAATTGCACACCTGTCTTTCATACTTCATTGAGTTTCAACTTAACAATGACACTACAAAATTATTTTCAGTGCTATTTGCATCTGCAATAAGATTTTTAAAACAGAAACGTCTTCAAGATTAAAGGAATCCATTTATAACAATGGCATTTCAGTTGTCTGCAAGAGGGGGTCGAGGGAGGTAGAGCGTGGCAGGGGCTCACGGGGGATCTTTAGCCCACACTAGGCAGGCAGCTGACTATGCCGCTGCACGTGGAGTCAGCCTGATGGAACAGGTCAGAGCGTGGCCTCTGGAAGGGAAGAAGCTGACACCAATGTTATGAGGGTAGATGCCAATATCTACAGCCTAGGGGGAAAATAAACAGAACTTAAGAATGACTTCTGACCCATCATTCCATATTGTCAAACTGCTTCAGTTTCCTTTTGTTTTTCAGGGCAGCATGAACAAAAATATATTTAGCCAAAACAAGCAGGTATTCAAAACACAATTTTCCAATTCCGTTTTATTTCATCAACATTAAATTTGAATGCATTTTTTTCTGCTTGTGGTGTGCCTGTCTTTCTCAATAATTCCTTATCAAGAAGTCACAGCAGGAGAGATTTTGCCCTTAAAAACACAACCATAAGCACTAAGCCATGAATCCCACAATTAGGCACGTTCAACTGGCATCTCTTGTGCTACTAGCTTACAAGCTTATTTAATCCTCCCATTATTTTCTAATTTTTCACGTGCTTACTATTACCTCTTCAACTAGATTGAAGCTTTTTGAAGATTGAGATAAAAGTTTTATACTTCTTTGTGTATCTCATAGTTCAAATGGCAGGCTTTTTTATTAGGACAACTTCGGTTGTCCAGAGAGTTTCACAAACATATATGAGTTTAAAGACTCTAAATGTCTTGCAATTACATGTTACTTATTATAATGTTATTATTTACTTGTGTATGTATGCATTTAATCACATTACAAATATATTGATCAGTTTGCTCATCTTAACAGATCATCAATAAGCTCATAGTAGATAGATGAGCCCCAGAAAATGAATCCAAGCTATAGCTCTCACTAGATATGATCAGCAACTTTTACAGTCTATTGCTATTATCATTTACCCAAGAAAATAAAAATATCAATTCATATTGCTTAATAAGTATTGAATGCTAGAGGGATATCACTGCACCTTAAATGAAGAGTTCAATAAAACCTCTTCTAGAGGTAAAATTACAAGCAAAAGCCTAAATCCCCACTGGGCCCCACTGGATGCATAGCTAAGAAAGTTATTTCATTTAGCTGAATTTCAAATATGTAAAAAAGAGAAAGATTGGTCCTTAACAAGGTCATAAAATAACCAAGTCAGATTTTGGTTCTCTTGTATCTTCCCTCACCAGGTGCCCTGTTTCCCTGTACTTGCCCAGCTGGCTTATTATTCCATCACTGCACTATTTAATATTGAACTATCACTGATCACTGCAACACTCTACTTCATCCTGCTCCATTTTCTTCTCCTGCTGTACCTGGTCTGTAATTGAAATCCCCCCTAGCATTTCTTATTTAATGTGTAGTTTTAACATTAGGTAATTAATTTTCTTTAATGGGCAACATACAGCATTTTATCTTACTTAGGGTACCCTAGGAGGTCTATGGATGGACTTCATGAGAGTCTGTGAATCTTTTGAAATTGTATAAAAGTTTTGAGTGAATATGCATATGTAGATTTTTCTGGGGAGAACATTCAGTGCTGTCATCAGATTATCAAAGGGACATTTAGCCCCAGAAATGTGAAGAACCACTGTCTGTTTTATTAGAACACTGTCAAATCTATTAGAACAGATTTGAAGCCTGCTTTCAGGAAACACAGGAATGTTTTCTGAGATAATGATCCTGCCTTTGTTGTTACCTGTTTGTAACTCGAATGATCCTCACTAATCTCCCACCAACAAC